CTGCCCACCTCCCCACCCCCGGTGGGTGCCCACGTGGAAGAAGCCGAGGGGTGCCCGGGATTTGTGCCTGAACTGAGGGACTTCCCCTACCGGCGCGGTGGGATAGTCCGAGGCCCCGGGGAAACTGCCTGCCCAGGTCGCTTTAGCCTTTGTCCTTGTAGAGAACGGGTTTGAAGCGATCGCGGATCAACCAGGGTGACCCGGTCTTCAGGAAGGAGGCAGGGTGCAGCCTCAGTCCATTTCCACCTGTCTGTTTGCGTTTAGAAGTTGCAAGTCAATTCCTTGATATTTAAAAAATATGTCTAGCATCAGTACGTCGTGGTCCGGGAAGGCCTTCCTTTGGGCACCCCCGAGTATATCTGGTATTTTACTAATGAGGTCTCTGAGGGGAGGGTCTTGACACTGCAGAACTGGGTCCTGGACTCGGGTGTATACCCTATCTCGTGCTGAATGAATATAGTCTCTTGGAAACAGATCTGGTGATCAAAGCAATGGACTAGATGAGTCAAGAGGACAGGCAGGAAAGCCATTGCCCTAAGCCAGGCAAGAAAGGGTGAGGCCTGAACCAAGGCGCTAGCTGTGAGAAACGATAGGATGGAACTGCTGGTTTTTCTTCTGTCCCCCAGACCCACTCTTTACCCTGCCCTGTGACTCGGGGCTGACTTTTATGGACTATATAACTCTGTTTGCTTTACTTGGTTTGGCCAATGGGAGACAGCTGCAGGAGATCACAGAGCAGAATATTATTATTCAGGACATCTCCCTACACCCACACTCTGTTAGCAGTGGTTGTATTTTTTTTTTATCTGAAACCCATTACTCCAATCCTGTGGCCCTCTCTATAGTTCTCTCTTGGTTCTGTTTATCACTTGCTGCCCTTGCCCCTTTCAGGCCTGGGGCTGGTAATGACTCCCAGGGGTGTCCTTTAACCCTGCTCACACCTTTTTGAATACTCCTTTAAATTCTCAAATATCTGAATATGCCATGCCGTCTTTTTCCTATTATCTTTTTCCCTACCACTCCAGGACACTATAATAGATTTTACTTCATTGTGGTTGGGAAGATTCATAAGAAGAAGAAAAAAAGTGTAAAAGAGAGATGGGGCTTTTAAAAAGTGATATATCTCGGTGTCAGTTCCCTGGGCAGCCATCATGCTAGGTGGTCTCCCCACTGGAGGCATCAAAGACAGTTTGAGGAGACTCAAGAATGGTATTCAGACCACTCATAACTAATGCTCTCACAAAAAGGCTGGGGGATCAACTGAGTGTCCAGCATAATAGAACTTTTGGATGCCTCTTGATATGGAAAGACAATCTAGATCTTTATGGAACAAGTGTTGGTACTCTCCCAACCGCAGCTGGACTGCTTTTGAATGAGTCGATATTCTTAGGACACTTAACAGTCCTAGGCACAGTATCTAAATGTATTTATGAAGGAGCTGCTGAGTGAGGCAATTGTCAATGAGAGTCTCCGGCTGTTTCTGTAGAAAACTCTAAGAATGTTCCAAACGAGGATGAAAATAAAAGGCAATAGAGTGAATGACATCATTAAATTGTCCCTAGCACTCATATCAGCTTGGTCTGAATCCAGGACCTGACCATTTCTCTGACTTGCATAAAAACCAAACTGTTATAACTAGTTCAATTCTTCACCCAAACCCCTTCCAAAAAACACAAAACAAAACCCCGAGGCACTGTCTTGGCAAAACTTACCCAAAGGGAACTCCAGGAGTAGCTGTTTGCAAACAGAATTAATGTTCAAGCAAACACACTATTTGTGCTGAATATAAATGAAACCAGAACAGAAAATTTACATGTATTTCTAGCCTTTCACCCTTTGGAAGAGGAAAGATACTTTATTATTCAGAAAGCCTCCTAGGCCTTAATTTTAGTGATCTAGATAAGGAGTAACAGTACAGAAGCAAAAGGAGCCTCCAAAGGCTAGGCTGATCTGCAAAGCTCAGCTAGATTTTATGTTTCTCTTGAAGGAGTGGGGGAGGAAGAGAGCCAGAAAAGTTTTGAGGATGGGAGTGAGAAAAATAAAGATGTAGAGTGATCTGAGTTTAGGAGAAAAGGCTTCTGGAAGATCAACTGCACCATCAGCTACTTTCTATATCCCTCACAATGCATGCAGGATGTTCTGGATCCCTTCCACACCATACAAGTGTATGAGTAGAGTCAGAGTTCAACTCAGCCCTCACTCTACCTTATCTTTATGCCACATTGCACTTCCACTCTGCTTTAGTCACCTATGTTGGTGCAGAGCCTTCTCCTCCCACATTTCCAAACAGAGATTGGCATCCACAGCCCCTCTACTGTCAGCTTTCTCCACAGTCTATTTAACAGCATTACTGAAATGTTGCCTGGAAGGTTAAAGTCACTATACAAGAGTCTACCTCCTTACTCCCACTGTTTCTTCTCCTTTCTGGACTCAAGTAGAAAATTGGAGTTTGAGCCCGACCTGTGTGGCTCAGTGGTTGAGTGTTTTTTTGTTTTTTTAAATATATTTTACTGATTTTCCACAGAGAGGAAGGGAGAGAGATAGAGAGTTAGAAACATCGATCAGCTGCCTCCTACACATCCCCTACTGGGGATGTGCCCGCAACCCAAGCACATGCCCTTGACCGGAATCGAACCCGGGACCCTTCAGTCCGCAGGCCGACGCTCCATCCACCGAGCCAAACCGGTTTTGGCAGAGTGGTTGAGTGTTGACCTATGAACCAGGAGGTCACGGTTTGATTCCTGGTCAGGGCACATGCCTGGATTGCAGGCTCCATCTCCAGTGTGGGGCGAGCAGGAGGCAGCCGATCAATGATTCTCTCTCCTCATCATTATTTCTATCTCTCGCTCCCTCTCCCTTCCTCTCTGACATCAATTTTTTAAAAAAAGAAAGAAAATTAAAATTTGACTCTTTTTTTTCTCATTAATTAATTTTTTAGGAGTCTTAATACTCCCCACCCTGTGGTTAGTTGATACCTTTGACTGACTAGAGAAGTCATACACATAGAAATGCAAAAGAGAAGAGTATGTTGATATGTTATTTTATATTAAGTAAAATGGACTGATTTGGGCAGTAAGGGAATATAATTGCTCATATAACTGCACAGGTTCAGAGGTTCAGGCCAAGCTTTATCCAAATGCTGACATAATGGAATCAGAGCCCAGTTTCTCTCTGTATCTCAAATTCACTATTATTGGCTCCATTCATGGCAGGCTTCTCCCTTTGTGGTGTCAAGATGACTACCAGAGGCTTTGGGACCCACATGCTTTTTTGTTCACATGAAAAGAAAAAGAGCACTTTCCCTCTCCTACTTGTTGAACCAAAGTCCTGAGCTTAAGCTGGTTGGACTTATGTTTTCTAATCCAATCAATGTGGTGATTGGGATGGTGTTTATGAGCTTACGGTAAATTCCATATCTCATATCATATATCCCATTTCTAAATCATAAGAGGGGTAGCATCAGGTTCCCTTGAAGCCCATTGACCATTGGAATAAACATTAGATACCATTACCAAAAAAAAGGGAAATGTGTGTTCAGTGGTCAAGTAGAGCAATGTCCACTACCTCCAGTGTCTACCAGATCTGATTTGACTTACTGCTCAAGCATTTGTTGAACTAAATGCTGAAAGAAGCAAAAAAGAAACAACTTAATCTTAGCAACTTTCCCCCATACTGCTCCTGATTCTTGCTCTGGGAAATATCTTCTTAAGTAATATCCTAGTGTCTGCATTTGATACACCAAAATCCTCCTGTATTCTGGGTCCTAGGCCATTTCTTTCATCAGTCTCTGTCCTTCCCCTAGGACTTGGTCTGAACCCTGGTCCCTTGTCAGGAACTGTGCTTAGCACTACCTGCTATGTAGGCAGGCTGCTAGTCTTCAAGTCCACAGCTCCTTAGAGATCATTAAAGTGGTTTGTAAACCACCTTATAGCTGAATCAGAGTTTGCACTAATTTTTATCATATTGATTACTATTTCATATAATAATACTAGAGGCCTGGTGCACGAATTCGTGCACCAGTGGGGTCCCTCAGCCTGGCCTGCGGGATCGGGCTGAAACTGGGTCTCCAACATCCCCCAAGGGGTACTGGATTTCAAGAAGATGCAGGCCAGGCCAAGGGACCCCACTGGTGCACTATCAGGGCAGGGAGGGATGCAGGAGGTTGGCCAGCCAAGGAGGGACCACGAGAGGGCTCCAGGGCATGTCCAGCCCATCTCGCTCAGTCCCGATTGGCCAGATCCCAGCAGTAAACTAATCTACCGGGGTCAGTACACATCATAGCAACTGGTCAACCAGTCGACTGTCTGTCCCCTGGTGGTCAGTGCACGTCATAGTGAGCGGTTGAGCAGCCTTAGCATACATTAGCATATTACGCTTTGATTGATTGAACAGACAACCGGACACTTAGCATATTAGGCTTTTATTATATAGGATATGTAATATATGAGTGTCTCTGCTTAGATATGACTGTCAAAATACTCACAAACAAAAGGAGAAGGGGGTCACCAGGGCTAGGCCCAGTAGAAGTACTGGGGTTAGAGGTGGCTCACTCCAGCTTCCTACCTTTGCCCATCAGCTGCTTCACTATATCACCCCTCTGTACCCTCTGTAAACACAGGCAAAGAACAACAGCCAGCCTGTTACTAAATTTCCTATATGCAAAATAAGCTCTCTTTTTTCTCCATTAATCCTCAAAGACTTTTTCATTTAAAAACTTGAGATGTGGTTTCTCACGCTGGGTATTTAATATTAGATGTAATAATCATCAACGTGATAAAAATTACAACACACTGCTTCAGCTGTAAGACGGTTTATGAACCACTTTAATGATCTTTAAG